CAAAAATTAATTAAACAAAATTAAAAAATATCATACAATGTGACATACAAGAAATTACATATATTTTAATTTAAGATCATACATGCTAAACTAAAAATTTAAAAAGTATATATACATAAATGTAATGTCTAAATTTAAATGAACATAAAATTAAATTTATAAATCAGAAATGAATCAGTGACCTAAACATGAAATACTAAATTAGTGACCTAAATATAAAATACACATAAATAACAGGGTCTGATATAAGATTTATCCTATTCAGCTCAAGCTAAAATAATATGAAAAATTACATAAATAATGCATACACATTCGAAAAAAAATCAGAAAATTAAAACAAATAAAGAACTTCTTTAAAAGAATGCACCTAAATAATACGGTGACTAAAAAGTTAATTAACCCAAACTATTACAATGACTAAATCCTAATTTAACCAAAAAACTTTACTATTTAACTTTAAAAATAATAATAAGTAATTTGTTAAAACAGAAGTGCGCCTAAATCTGGGGGACTAGAACCTAATTTATCCTAAAGTTATAACATATAACCTAAGTTAAAAAACCTAAGCTAATTTGCTAGAACCAAATACCCAGCCGTTCACTCTTTCTTCTTCATCTCTCCCTGCCTCTCTTCTCCAAACTCATATTATTGTGAACCCTAAAACCTTTATTTGTTTTTACTCCACTCTCTCACGCTCGAAACTTCAACCACCATAGCCACCTGCCGACCCCCTAACGGCGACCACACTAAACCCCGACTGCTACTAGACTTCAACCGAAGCCAAACGACCACCTCTATCGCTCGAGTCTCTCCACCCCGATGGCTTAAACTCCGGCGACCAACTCTTCCACTAGGTAAATCGACTCCTCTCTTTTTATTTTATTTTGGTATTGTTAAACTAAACCTTACACTTCTTTCTTGACTATGGAATCCATACATAGAACAAATGGGGTCAACAAGACCCCCTCCTTTTTGTATTTAAATAAACTGGGTAAGTCCCCAATCCTTTTCTAAATTTTAGTTTTACAAAGCAATTGCACACACACACAAAGACAACAAAAATGAACTGGAAAACGAAAGGAATTGAGGAAGAATTCCTCGGAAAAATTATACCTTTGATGCTTTATCTGTTTTTGAATTATAAGATTACACAATTGTTTTCTTTCGTATTCCGTTTACAATGTGGAATTGCTGATAGTTAGCCTGGTTCTTTGCTTCTCCTCCTCTCGTGATAACTGATCTTTCTCGGTCTCTCCGTGTGAAAACTTTTCTGGTTCTTTCTCCTTCAGAAAATGGTCTCTGTTTTTCTTTTTGTTCTGTGATGCTTGATAATCTTTCGAATGATTCCCCCCTTCCGTTCTTACTGTCTGTTTTTTTTGAATGTCCAATATCTTTTTTTATCAATCCCCTGTAAAACTTTTCTTTTATCATCTCCCCCCTTTTTTATTCTAGTGGTTAATTACAACCTTAAAACCGACCCTTACAGTTTTCTCATTGCTCACGTATCCCTCCCACGATCTAACTAATATATTTCTCTCCCCTCTTTTCTTCTTATTAACTTCCTATAGTTATTTTGGTTTCCATGAAATCTTCATGTGATAGAAGCTGCACTGTTGGATTTGGGCTTCTAAATGGTTTGGGTTTTTCTTTAAGCCCATCGTTGCTTCGGATTTGCTCTAGTTAGGCCCCGGACAAAAACGAGCATCTACAAATTGATCATATAAAAAAAAGATAGAGGTTATTCATTTAAGGTGTGTGATTGGAGAAAAACGGTGAGACTGTCGAAATCGTTTTTAAGTTAGAAACTGTTAAATATTGAAAAGCTCGTTAAAAGTATAGAATCGTCATCGGTCAGTTTTAGTACGATCGAATATCTATAATCTATTTTTTAAGTAAATGAAACACAAAAGAAAATGTTAATAATAATAATAATAATAATAATTATTATAACCGTAATACCCCACAAAATTTAGTTAATGACCAAAATATAAATTTTTAAAGTTTGATGGTCAAAGTAGAATATTTGGGAAAAATTTAAGGAATTAAGTGATAATTTTCCCAAAAAAATTTATTTCATAAATGGATTTATTTAGTGACCAAATTATAAAATTGGTAAAATTTGGTGACCAAAGTATGAACTTTGAAAAGTTTAGGGACCAAAATGTAATTTTAGAAAAATTACATATGGGTCACTAAAATAAGTAAATAAAAATATTATTTTCATATTTTTAAAATGTTGGCAAATAATATTTAATAGTTTAATTTAAGGTTAAGTTGAACTATTTGATTAAAGTGAATGAATTACAAATTTTGGAAATTTCAAGGGTAAAACGGTAAAGTGGAAAACTAATTTGTTCATCTTTGACTATTGAAAGATGACAAGGCTGATATTTATTTGATTTTGAAGATGATAAGGATATGTATCTTGGTTTAATGGTGATTATAAAGTTTTATTAAGGGTAAATTAGTATTTTCTAAGCTAATGAATTAAATAATATTTTTAAAGGATGATAAGTATGATATCAATAAAAAATATCATGTCAATGTTCATCTTCTCCAGCATCTTCACGTGAGAAAGCTTCCAAGGTAAGAAAAATATTTTATTTTCAATTTTTTAGCTAATTCCTTTGGAATTGGAGTTATGATGTGAAATAGGAAAATGATCTACGCGAAAAACGCTATCATTTGATACAAGTATTTCTTTCTAATCTTGCTGTATTTCAAAGATCCCAAATCTAAGGGTTTATGTTCATGATAGGATTTTGATGATAAATCTTGATGATTTAGAGGTTGTAGATTCGTTTTCAAGCTTGATTTATGGTTAAAACATGTTCAATCTTTCTAGAGATTTTTATGCAAAATTCGGCCAAATTATAAGTTGGAGAACTTGTGTTCTGATGAAAGTTGATTAGGTATTTTATTGTAGAGATGTTAAAAGGTTGATTTAAAGTTGATTTCATGCTTGAATCAAATCAAAATCGAGCAAAATTATGAAAACGTTGTTTAAAGGATAAAGTATTCGATTATGACTTATCTAAGTGATAAAATGGTGAAGAACCATTTTATGTAATTGGAAAAGTTGATGTCATTGATTAAAGGAATTATTAAGTGTTAAAGATTTGGTAGAAAATAAGTTCTAAGTATATTATGGAATTGTTATGGGATGTGTATGTTAGTACAATACTAACATAAGTATTGTTATGAATTTGTGATTTTATACAGATTGTGAGTTAAGTGTGATTGAAGCAAATCAAGTATAAGAGTTATTGTGGACCATAGTGAGGCATACATATTGTGAATATATAAAGTGTCAATGTGAGTGCAATACATGCATGATATGGTACATAGATGTTTTATACATCGTGTACATAGATGTTTTATACATCATCTGGAAGACTTGCGATAAGTCGACCTTGTTTTATCAACATGAGATTTGATATGGAAGTTATTTTGGGTATGAACTGCCCTAATGTTTATACATGGTTATACGTTTCCATGGATGATTTATTTGATGACTATATGCCCAAATATGTTATTAAGGTTCAGTGGTATTAATGGCATGTCATAGAGTCTAGCAGCTATAGAAATAAGTAGTACTATAGTGTCAAATAAGATACATAGTACAAGTCAGGAGGGTAAAACCCGACCTCAGCACTACGGTGCATTATTAGGTGAGTAATGCTCGACCTCAGCACTTTGGTGCACTATTTGACTCCTATACCGGGTTCCTCATAGATTGAGAATTATGGGCAATAGTAGTGGAATAAAAATGATTTTATTTATATTATGTTGTTTTGATTTTGACATGGAAATGCATGCATGAATTGTGTTGCACTGTCTATTGTTTTAATTGCCTCACTAAGTATATACTTAGTGTGTGATGATTTTCACGCGTAGGTAAAGAGCCAGCAGTAGAATAAAGAGTTCAAAGCGACATCAAGCATCGAGATGTATATTTTCAATATCAGTAAGACATCCTAAGATGTAATGTTGACTTTATTAGTGGCATGTAATTATTAATGTTTTACTTGCTTTGTTGAACAAATTTGGAAACAAAATGGTAATTTTATGAGTTTTGTATAATGTTGAAATTACTGTAGCAGTTACTGTAACAACACTGTAGTCGTGCAACGGTAGTAATACATCGATACACAATATTAATTCGAAATTTTGGTGCATCGATGCACTATTCACGTTACTGTAGCAGTGCATATGTACACTGTTCACGAGTACTGTTCATCACTGTTAATCACTATTCATAAAAAAATAAAAAAAAAATATTTTTCCTGAAATTTGTTTTAACGAAACCCAATTCATATGAAATGATATTTGTATAATATCATTTACCAATTTAAGAAAATAAATTTTAAATCACTTTTGAAGTGAAAATGGTTTTCTAAAATTCGAGGAACATCTATAATCTGTATAGGTATAATTATACGGGTTATGGGTGTTACAATAACAAATAAGGATAATGTAGGGGGAAAAACTAACATGTCTGGACTAAATTGCAAGAAATATGAAATTAAAAGAATACAATAATAGTAATTAATATAAAATGAGACAATATTACAATAATGAAAAAGGCGAAAGGACCAAAGATCGATTTTTTTATTTATCATTATCTTTTGTATATTCGTAATATTTGTGTCAATGCTTACTACAATTATACTAGGAAGTGAAATATATCATAAGGAACAACAGCACCAAACTTGGGGCATACATAATTTAAGTGTTTTTTTTTTCAATTTCTTTTCTATTGTTATATATCGATAATAATCAAATAAAAAAAATACAAAAAGCTTATTTAAGTTTTATATGGTTTGGTTCATAACCAATATATAGATTTATACGCTCACAGCATCAAATATGCATCCAAACTTCAAACCAATAAATATTAAGCTATAAACAATGCCTTACAACTTATTTAAAATATAATCCAATAACATCATATAAATATAAATTTAAGAATTACTAGGTAGTTTAAGACCAACTTAGCAGGACCAAAAAATATGTGAATATTAAAATTATATCTTCCTTTTTGGTCTTTGTCATCCTTTTCCAATATATATGTGCTCATTTACAAAATTATAGTCAAGCATTGGACATCAAAGGTAGACTAACTTAATTCCCCCCCCCCCCCCCCCGGGTCTCAAATTGATATATTGAGATCAAGGCGAGGCTTCTTGGAAGCTGGCATTGGGACAACAGTATTGCACCTAGGGCATCTAGGGTAATGTCTCATTACCATCACATAAGATAAGCATCCGGGGCAGCCGGCTGCAACCGGCGATGCAAACAACCTCTCTTGATCACCGACACCGTAAAGTGAATCTTTGATCAAAGATGATGATGAAGCATACGAAGGTGACAAGGATGACTTCCACAATGATGACGACGACGATGAAGATGATCGATTCTTGATTGGATTTTTCTCCACCCTTTCGAGTGCGAATTTTATTTTGTCGAGTGTGCACACACTTTGATAGCCGGGAGAGGATGATGAGAGTAGTTTCAGTTCTAAGTTTGTCTCGTCGAGAAGGTTTAGCAAAGGTTTAGAGGGCGACAGTGGGAAGTTCAAATCTTGAAGCTTCGACACTGTTTGATTGTTTTGGTGTTTGGTTCCATCCGATGATTGTGAAGAATTTGATGAATTGCATCTTTGCAAGTACGCTTTGCCAGACTGCAACCATTAAAAATAAATTAATGGATCGTACTTTATATAGCAAAAATGATTAAAATCAAGTAATAAGGAATCACACATGATGATATTATAAGAAAAAAACATAAGGAAATTATTTCATTACTTGTGAGATGAGAAAAATCAAGATACCTTCAAGTCTAGGCGCTTTTCCCATCCATTAGGGACTTGAAGGTCAAGTTCAGGTTCTTCTGATTGATCATTTTTCATATCGATCACGGCTGAGTCTCCGCCTCCGAGCAAGTCTCTGGTGATCAAAGCCGTTGATTTTGCTCCACCGGATTCATTCGCCACCATTCGATCATCCTTGTACCCGCTTAAAAGTCTATGTAAAGAACTAACTTCGGCAGCCATAGCCGAAGAGGGTTTCTTGAGAAAGAGGAAGCGAGTGGTTTTCTTTTGTTCTTCCCTTCTTTTAATATAACAATGACTACAGAGATGTATAAGTAATTTATAAGTGTTGAATATTATACTTTCTTTGTAAATATATAAATTTAATAAAATGGAAGTGTTATTAATGTTAAATTAATTAATTTCCAATTCAAAAGAAATAAATTAAGCCAATGCTTAAATTTGTTATAAGTAGTTGTTTCATTTATTGTTTTGCATATTTATTTATGGTAGGGGGGGGGGGAGAGTGAGAGATTCAATAAAAAGGGGAAGGCGTGCAAATAAATGGCCACATTAATTGCTTCGAAATACAAGCAGACAACAATTAGAAGTAGACTTCTACACGTGTGAGTCGGTTCAGTCTATTGTAGGATAGTGATTACGATTTTTTTAATTGTACGGAAATAACTTTTTACGTGTTTTATAGATTATAATTTTATATTGAATTGAATTTCAATATATTATACTCTGTAGGGATGTGATAAATAGGAGCGTAAATGAACAAAATATTTGATGAATTGTTCGTAAATTATTTGTGTAACGTTCGTTTATTAAGTTAAATAAATGTGTGTGAATAAAATTATTATTTTCATTCAACAAACGGACGAAAAAATATATAGATGTGTTCGATTAATTTGTGTTCAAGGAATAAACTCGTTTACTCGATTCTATTTTAATTTTTATATTTTAAATATTTGTGAAGATAAGGACTAAATTGAATATAAACTGAATTTTAAAGTTTAAACTATAAAATTTAAGGAACTTAAAAATTAATGGCGTAATTTCACCATTTTCTTTGACTTGCAAATAAAATGATAAAAAGAGTGTGTGTTGGATACATTACATTAACATTTTTTTATTGAATTTTTGTTGAATATTAGGTAATATAAGTTTAAAGACTTTCAATTATTTGACAATGAGCGTTTATGCTCCTACATACTTGGTGCTCGAATCCAGAGACTCAAGGGGTAACAACAATCCTTGAACTATTAAAGTCACTCAATCCGTGTCACATTAAATAAATGTTAAAGGAACATGTTCGTTTATTGTTAAACATATATATATTCATGAACGTTAAATAAACGTATACAAACATTTTAAAAATAAACAAACAAACATTAATTGTAATACTAAAAATTTAAAAAAATACATATAAAAAATAAATATTTTCAAAAATTAGTCACTTAAACACAAACATAATTATATTTATTCAAGCCGAGTAGATTTACACCTCAGTCATCAAGGTCTTGGTTTTGGAGAAAAGCTATTTGACCTTGTTAGATATTTGGGCACACGCGCTAAAGCCGCGAAATTATTGCATTTGGTTGAAGGCAGATAGATTTTTAATAATTCACGTCTTGTTTGGAAAATGTATTTTTCTCATTAATTATATAACTATAAAAACTTTATGATCAGATATGAGTTTGTTTTGAGTTTTATTTTCCTCATTAATTATGTAACTATAACAACATTATCAGATGTGCTGATTAACTAACTGGTAAAAAATGAATATGTATTAAATGTCTTATATTAGACTTTATCATATTAGATTTATTTTTTTTCTATATTCTCCTGAATTGAAACCTATATTAAGTTACTATTTTACAAATATATATGTACTTCCAACAAATTCAAAGGAAAACCATGTATCAATATGCTCTTATTAGTAATTTTTTGTTACAATATCTGTCATTAATACAAGTTAATCTGATTAAAATTTTTAAATTAATATATATTTTAGATTTTTTTATATTTTTAATTGATAATCTATTTTTATCTCTTAAAATTTTATAAATTTGTTCACTTTTAAAATTTTATAAATTCATCTCTAACATAGAATCATGTGTCTGTCCCTAATGCACCTTTCATTTCTACTAATTTCTTTTAATATTTCGGTGAGTTAATACGAAATTCAATGCTAGTGTAGTGACTTTGGAATCTTGCTTTGTTGGGAGCTGATAGGGATGAAGAGGGCGAGTTGAGACGGTAGATTATTTGCTTTTCATCTAGTGTACCAATATATATATATATATATATATATATATTGGAAATTCGTAGCTACATGTGAACTCTATCAGTTATTTTGAAATATCAAAACCATAATATTTAAGAATTTTCACATATTAATGGATTTAAATATACTTTTACATCTATTTTATTGATTTTAATGATACAACATTATAGATTTTAATTTATCTACACTCAACACTTGCTATTTATTACATTTAATCAGTCACCAACACAAACAACGACGATCATGTCTCCCTTGCATAGACGATGATCTAACCCCACCTAGAAGAAATCAAAAGAAATTGAAATATTTGATTATGGGAAAAAGAAGAAATCAAAAGGAAATTTTTGATGAAGTTAGAATTGGAGTTTTTCGACGATTTAACCCCACCTAGAAGATTGTATGGTAGATAAGTTTCTCATGGTGGCAAGAGCACCGTATTATATGGGTGGTGTTATCTAACGGATAACGACAACAAACAAATTAAATTTAAGTTGAGGAAGTCAAATAGTTCAACTTAGATCTACGATGATCAATACACTATTTGAAGAAATCGAACTTGGATCTATGATCATGGACCAAGAGAGTCCAACCTGTCGAGTTTTAGACTTCAACTGTCGTTAACCCTTCTGTTAACGCAACAATTAAGATGATTGGTGCGATAGACGATGATTATGTTATGAGAATTTAGATATGAAATAAGAAAGTAACATGATACTTGATGAAAATATTTAGGACCCTAGTGTTAATAAATTGGACATTTTAATTTTTACCTGTAAAATGATTGATATGCCATCAAGTGAAAAAATGTTCAAAATGTATATATGAGTTAAAATTACTAAATGATCCTTATGAGCCTAAATGATCAAAATTTCACGGTGTATTAAAACAAATAAATTACTTAAAGTCAGAAAATAATTAAAGTATCCATGTGAGTGAAAATAACAAATAAGTTATCATATGGAAATTATCGACATACCTTTAAGTAAAAAATCACCGAAACATCAATATAGTTATCTAGTTGGAATATGAGGGTATATGTTGGTTGTTTGGTGATGATTGTTATGAGTGCATAATTATATTTTATGTGACCCTTCTTACGGTACGATATTAACTCTATAACACTAGCATGAGGTTTTAGGACCAAGAGCTAGAGTACACCCATGCATAATAAATTAGATAGAATGACAAAAATGTCCTTAATATTTGATTAAATTAGTCACTTTAGTTCATATTTTATATTTTGGAGCATTTTAACCTCCATCGTTTTATTTCGGGACAAAAAGGTACACATCTGTGAATAGAAATCGTTAGTTAATAGACAATCAACGTTATAAAATATGAGTTTTTTTTTCCTAAAATGAAACATTATGGATCTTAATGTCTTAAAACAAAACGTTAAATATAAAAATACACTTAAAAATCGAATAAGAACAAAAAAAACTATTTAATTAAACAATACGGGCATTCATGCCAAAATGTTACACGTCCTGGAGCTTCAACAAACTACAATATTGGATCATTCGTATCAAAATTCTAAGCACGACACAGTGGACAATTTCCATAATTGCTTTTAGACCTTAATATAATATAATATTAATTTTTATACGTGATTAAACCCAAAATCAAGGTATTTAAATCAAAACAAAAACAACATTATTGATTTGAATTTACTTAAAATAAAAAGTAAATGATAAGCCTAAAATTTAAAACTTTACTTTTGAATACTCATCGGGAAAGCCGTAAAGTAACAATCAAGATTATATCAGTCCAAGCCCGCCACACAAAAAGGCTGATGGGCTCAAAACAACAAAAACCAACAGATGGGCCACATGGATAAAGTCATGAAAAACTAAAACAGAAGAAAAACATTCAGACAGTGAACTATTAAAATAATAATTAATAATAAACTAACAAACTACGAAATTTTATACCAATGTTATTGAATTTAAATTTTCTTTGACACATACATGGTATGTGTATGTAAAGTTTTATTATTTTAATATTTAATAAAATATTTTTATTTATATACATGTTAAAACAATGCTATGCGACCTATTTTATTTGACATTATTTATGCCAAATCAAAATTCTATCCCAGTTAAGCAGTTGGATTAATTTTATAATCCAGCCTGGCACTTATTAATTTATTATGGTGTACTTGCCATATTTTTAGATCATTAAATTAACAAAATTTCCAATCCAATCTACTAAAAGTAGCTTGAATGGGCAAGAAATCCTATTATATTTACATACCAAATTACAGAGTGGGTGCAACACAAAACTGTACATGCCATAATTGGACACTACACATTCAAGCATCATTAAATCTTTATATTTGGAACAAATCAAATAGAGTTTATGTATGGACAGAAATGGTAAGAGATGTCAACTGTTGGTTGACTATGGTAGAGTTCTTCACATTCATGCCATAATTTTTGAAATTACAGATATTTAGAAATCGTATCGGTTCGATATTTTTATCACGTAGATAGAAAATATTTAAATTAAATTACTTTTACAATCCTTGTTTTTGTGTGTGTATATATATATATAGACACTCAGGTGAGGTGCGCAGGTATAAAGAGTCTTAGTTGTGATTGAAGAATCTGATATGTGAGTGGTGGAAAGAGAAGGAAGTTAGGTGATATGGGGAAAGGAAGAGCTCCATGTTGTGATAAGGACAAAGTGAAGAGAGGTCCATGGAGTCCCCAAGAGGACCTGAGGCTTATCACTTTCATTCAGAAATATGGCCATGAAAACTGGAGAGCTCTCCCTAAGCATGCTGGTCAGTCTCTTCTTCTCTTTCTCTCATGGCTGCATGCATGGAATCAAACAACATTTCTTCACCCATTGAATTAACCATTGGAATTCATTCTTGTTTCAGATTGTTCTCTTCTGTTTTCTCTCCACTGATCCCATTCTGATTTCTTTTTGTCTTGCAACCGAGTTTATAAACGACCCTTTTGTTCAATTCTCTCAATTTGCGGACTAATCTGCAAATATTTTTCTGTTTGTCTGCAAATCTGAAACGTTTTCTGCAATGAAGCAATTATTCAAATCTGCCATTATTTAAATTACTTTATTAAATTCATCAATGTTAGTTGAACGAAATGTTTGAACTCTTCATCCTTGTTTGTGTTTGGTAAGAAACTATGAACTTTTCCTTTGTTTTGTAATGTTTCTACCTAAAATGTTGTGGCAGCTTAACAATTGAGGGTCAACATCAGATTGTCACAAGGCTACTTGTGGCTAATTCTTTTTTTCCCTTCCCATTTTCATTTTTCATTAAACATTCAAGAACTATCGAATCTAGAGATGAGCTGAGCAGGGATGGATCGAAGGGTGTTAGAACACTCCGTAGAAATTTCAAACTTTTATATAGTTTAATTAAATTTCTTATATTTTTTTATTGATGATCTAAATTCATATCTTTTGACATAAAATCAAACTTCCTTCCCTAAAGCTTAGTTAATTCATGAAATTAGGAGGTGAATATTTGTCACATCTTAACACAATGATGAAGTTGTTGTTTTGATTTCCCTTTCTGATATAAGCACCCAAGGCGCCAAAGTTATGTCTTATTTTTGATCCATCATTAGTTGAAATCTGAAGGCCAGAACATTGAATTGTCATCATTGTTTCTGTCACTCTCACGACGGATAAACACGACAGCTTTCAAGAGTTTGACATTTTTGTTTTGGATTATGTTGTAGGGCTACTGAGATGTGGAAAGAGCTGCCGTTTAAGATGGATTAATTACCTGAGACCCAATGTCAAAAGAGGGAACTTCAGCAAAGAGGAAGAAGAAACTATAATAAGGTTACACGAGTCTTTGGGAAACAAGTGAGTTTCAAACCAGAAATAGGCTTTAATCTTTCTTGGGTTGTTGGCTTATTGATATCTTATGTTACGATTATATTAATTTCACAGGTGGTCCAAAATTGCTTCACATTTACCAGGAAGAACAGACAATGAGATAAAGAATGTCTGGAACACTCATTTGAAAAAGAGATTGGCTTCAAAGGCTGAGAACATTCCTCAAAACGGTGAACCTATGGCCTCCTCATCATGCTCTACTGTTACACTTGTGTCGTCATCGTGTAACGAAAGAAAAATAGAGGCATTCGAGGAGCTAAAACCTTTGTCAAGTTCTTCAATCTCTTCCAGTAACTCCAACGTCACGAATCCCATTCGAGTCGATGCTTTAAATCCAGAGAATAAAAGGGGTTCACCGTTCAATGTCATAGGAATTTATGGTGCAAACAACGCATCAGAGGAGGTGAACAAGCCGGATATCTCCCATACCGCCATTGATGTCCCGTTGGAATCTGATTTGGACTTTTGGGACAAGTTGTATAGCTTAGAATCATTCCAGCCTGATGAGATTCGATCAAATGAAGCTGAAAATAACAAGTGGTTGCAGTACTTGGAAATTAAACTTGGCCTGGAAGTAACCAGGAATGAAAACCAGAACAAATTGTCAAACAATGCAGCTGAGCCACAGGTTCCTGAGATGTATGACAGGCTACGGAAGCCATAACCTGATATTGAGCGTATGTCGTTGTCACATTATGGCCCTCTTCATAGAACAGTTCTGCTATCCGAATCAAATAGAAAACAGTAGTAGTTCATAAGGGACTTTCCTAGTGTTTTGACTATGCTCTCGTTATGAATTTAGTCGGTTTCCCTAACTTGGTCACTTTAATTAGGCCTTTTTAGATGTATAGTTGATAAAATAAAAATATCCATCTCATCATTTTCTTTTTTCAAACAGTCCATTGTTGATTAAATCATATACCCTATAAAAAATCACTCAATCTCCAAACAAATGAACATTAATGGGTAGGTGATGTTATCCACTTGCTCTGGCCTTTCACGTCGGTTCTTTCTCAATTTTGATCGTCTCACTTTCATATAATTTTTAAATAATATGATACAATATTTATATTATTTAGATTTATTCTTATTTAAAAATTTGAAGATATTAAATATTTAAATATGTTTAATTTTTTAATCAGAGATAATATCAATCAAACTAAATTCTATATATCATTTATATATAAATTTTAATTTGATTTATATTTGATTTGTTTATACAATTTTTATGATCAAACACAGGCTTGTAATAAATTTTGAAGACAATCAAGTGTTTCTAATCAATCATTTGATAAAAATGGTTTGACTTTACATTTTACAATGATGGCTAGATATCACATAAAATTGATTGGAAAAAAAAAGGATAAGACTTGAACTTAATATATATATTACAAGAACACAATATAAATATAAACTTTTTAAAAAATAGAATATAATATAAACTAAATTTTATTTTGATATACATATTTCTCAAAATATATAATATAAATTATTAATATATTAAAATTTAAATAAATAAAAGATCGATTAGAATATAATATAATAAGTTAATATACACAAATTTCTAAGTCTAAAATGAGGAATATAACCGAAGAGTAAAAATTATGATTTAAGATATTGCATGATTCGGTTTAACTAATATATACGAATTACTAAGTTCGGATTGAAGAATATAACAGCAGGGAGAAAATTACGGTTTAAGATATTACATGATTTTGCTTAGCTATAAAAAATTATAATATGACAAGATACAAATGAAGTTGGGTGATCATTTTATAACTTTTAATAGTCAAGGGATTCAGCAAAGCAACTCCTTATAGCCAGAGATCATTTTATGACTTTTAATAATTGGAGGACTCAACAAAATAATATCCTATAATGAATGACCATTTATATACTTTTCCCAAAGATTAAATTATCATTTTTTAAAAATATGAACTATATCGTAATGAAGTGAACACAAGTTACAAGTAAAAATCTAAAAGAATTGAATTTTCTCTCTCCAAAATCTTATAAATATAAAAGACAAAAATAAATTTAACGAAGTTTTGTAAAGCATAACATCAATTCTAAAGAAAACAGTTTAAAAATTCGAATTGATATATATTTTGTTAAATAATTTTTTATTAGTATGAGATTATTATGAAATAAAGTATATTCGAAATTCGTTCAATTAATTGACAATGAACGAACATACACTTAATCATCATGAATTCAAGGGCTCAATCCCTCTAGCCAAATTCAGGCCGAACAAAAATCTTTTCACACCCTAATTCAAATTCCCCTTATTAACTGAACCCAAAACTACTAAATGTGAAAAAATTTGGCAGTGGCATTTAAGTGATGGCTAATTTCTGACCAAAAGTTCCATAGCTTGTAATATCATTATCAACCACGTCATTCATCTTACAGATTTCATCTGATAATAAATAACAGTTGACTCTATTACATAATTATTTTTGAAATCTTGCATCTAACATAAAATCTTATATTTGTTCTTGGATAATCAACTCATTGTCTATTATGCAAACTAGCTATTAGGTAATGGCCTACCAATATAAGTACATAGAAATACTCAAAACATCTCATTTTTTTACAATTTATTATCTGTTTAGATGTTTTCTTAATTTATTAACAATGTGTATACATTCTACAAATGCAGTTTGTCAAACCGAGACTTCTAAAAGAATAACACTTCTCTTTATCATTGACACCACTTAATAGATTCCATTCGAATCATCTAAAACTATAATAACAGAAGATATTCCGATCATTGGGCTTTGGAAACCAGCATTGCCTCCTTAGATGCCTTAACCCGATATAAAGATCATAGCTTGACCGATATCCTGTTCATAAATACTAACCATAAGAAACATTGTAACGTAATAGGTGGGACAACTACTTTCACCACAAAGCTAACGTAGACACCAGATTTCGTCTGATTTAAACTAGGGCTATCGACCCTTTTTAATCAACGTGGGTTTGGGCTTTGATTCAGAAATCTTGACAAAAGTTGGGGATATAAAGTTTTAAACAAATCTATTAAAGCTGATGCGTGAAACCAAAAATGGTAAGAAAAATAATTGATCTAGAAATCTTGCATTTTTTTTAATATAATAGACTTTAATAAATTTAAATATTTAATAAATGGTCATGAAAGAGGGGTTTTTAGCCAAATAATCCATCCACGATAAAATATATACGTGGGAATGTAGCCATTAGGGAAAAAAATTTGTTGTAATGGAAAGTGAACTCGTCATTTTAACCTAATAAATTCTAATAAAAATAATTATTTAAAGAAACTTATTATTCCAACAAGTCGAATTCATATTGCAATTTTTTTCTCCCAAACTACAATTTTCTTATTTTATTTCTTGCATGCATTATTCCTATAAAAAAAAAGGAACTATGAAAGAGGAAGCGGAACTTCATAAGCAAATATGATATTGGAATAGTTAGTTGCACATGCTTAATAAGCTATTAAGGTGTTAAAGGTATTTAGCTGAGCAGGTAAGGTTAGCTATACGGTTAGACTAACCGTGTAGAACTTTTATAAAAACACTATACTAATTAAATCAAAACTCATAATACTTCATGGTAATATATAATTACTTAAATTAATTGTGCTGATAGTTAGGGTAAAATACACAAATAGTCCCCTAACTAATATAAATTATAAAATGGTCCCCCAACTATAGGGCTTTGTTTTGTTGAGTCATCGACTATTAAAAGTTACAAAGTGGTCACCTGACTATTCATATTTTTCAGACTCGTAATTTTTCGTTAAAAATTGGTGACAGTCTGAGTTAGATGTTAATATGTTGACTGAGATATGATAGTCGTTTGAGATTTTGGGATCAAATTGATCACATCATAGTCAACAAGTTAACGTGCAGCCTACCATCAATTTTTAACAAAAAAGGACGAGTTTGGGACATATGAATAGTTAGATGACCATTTTGTAACTTTTAATAGTCGAGAGACTCAATGAAGCAATGGCCTATAGTCCAAGGATAATTTCATAACTTTTAATAGTCGAGAAACTCAACAAAATAACGTCCTATAATCAAGGGATCATTTGTGTACTATACCCTAATAGTTAATGATAATACAAACAATATACATTAATAAGATGAATCATTTGAAAAATTCAAAATTGAACAATTAGCTTTCCTTAACACCTAATGATGTTTATTTACTTCTAATTGGAGTTGAAAATAGATAGATCAATTATATGCATCGATCTATTTAAATAGACGTTTAATGATGATTATAACCCTAGTAAAAAGGTAAATTACATGTTTAATCATTCAACTTTCTATAAGTTTTTGTTTTAACTAATCAACCTTTACAACTTTTAATTTTATGACTCGAGAATGTAGTATAACTTAACTTGTAAAAGAGGTATAACAAGTCTATAAATAAGAGTCGGGATTTGGAAGCCGAGCAGCATAACAAAGATAAAAGACTTGTCCACTTATCAAATATATTCCGAGAAAATATGTCGTGCAAAGAGGAGAGCCAAGTTTTCCGCCCGATTGTAACTTTCCCCAAAAACATATTGAGAGATCAATTTCCTCTTACTGATCACTTGGCAATCTTCCATACATGTACTCTACATTTTTATTTATGATGTACTCTACTTAATTTTTCAATCAGTCTCAGGTATTTGATTCTTTATCCAAAGAAATAGATCCATTGAAAGAGAAAGTGAAGCACATGCTGGCTTCTGCAGATGATCCCTTTGAGAATATCAAATTCATAGATAGTTTGCTTCATCTTGGTCTCTCGTATCATTTTGAGAATGATATTGAGTACCAACTGGAAAACATTTTCAACTCCCACCAAAATGATCTAAATGACCTTGACTTAACCTCTACTTCAATTTTCTTTCGAGTTTTCAGGCAATATGGTTTCAAAATGTCTTGCGGTAAGGATAACAACATCAGATGACTAGTTACATGCATTTCAATATGTTATTAACAAATTGAATAATGTGAATCAGATGTTTTCGAAAAATTCAATGACACTGATGGGAAGCTCAAAAGAACCCTGATTGATGATGTTAGGGGAATACCAAGTCTGTATGAAGCTGCCCATTTGAGAGTTCATGGTGAGTATATATTAGAGGAAGCCATTACATTCACCACGGAAAACTTGAAGCCATTGGCAAAGAAGTCGAGTCCACATCTCGCAAAGCAAATAACGAATGCCCTTGATCAGCCGTTGAACAAATGCCCTCCAAGACTTGCTGCAAGGACCTATATCTCTTTCTATGAGGAGGAGCTTGTTGAAAAGTCAAATTCTTTGGCTATTAGCAGCCGGCGACTATCTTTTCCAAATTGGCTGCTATTTTGGTTCAAATTGGACTGCTAAAATGGTTGAAAATTAGCAAGGTATAACTACACATTTAGTCATTGTATTTTAGGGTATTTACAAATTAGTCCTTAAGTTTCAACTATAAATACCCTAGCTCATTTAGCTTCAAAACCATCCCAAAACATTCTAGCTTTCTTCCAATACTAGAGAGAATTTAGAGAGTTTCTTGAGAGTTGTTTTTCTCCTTTTTATCAAGAGAGAATTATCATTGTTTTCTCCTTGATCGATCGAGAGAAGTTGTAATTCCTATTTTCTCATAGTGAAATTCTTCTACCGTTGCCCGTGGCTTTTACCCTATATTATTTAGGGGTTTTCCACGTAAATTTTGTGTCTTCTTTATCTTCATTTTTATTTTCTCAAATGATCAGTTGCGATTTTGCTCTATCCGATAGCCATCTTCCGCAACAATTGGTATCCGAGCTAGATTAGAGTGTGTAATATCTGCTTATTGTCTTTGTGGTTGCCACCAAAAGGTGGATCCTCCAACATAAGAAAATAAGAAGTTATTACCCATTCTTTGAAGGTTCCAGAGAACTATTCAC